TGGCTTCTCACAACTATTCTGTCCTTTGGAATAAGCTTCCCTCCACATTCCTCCAGTATCCAGTTTAAGGAACCCATCTTTTGAACCCTTCTCCCTCATGCCATTTAGTACCACTGTGCTCTATATATTTCAACTAGTTCATTGATCACATTGTACTCTAATTATTTTTATAAGCCTGCTTCCTATTCTAGATAATAATCTTGTTCCCGTGTACATCTTTAATCCCCAGAAGTCATCTTTCTGGAATGGATGGAATGAATGAATAATTATAGTTTATTTTCTACAATGGCTTCACCAAGCATATTATTCTATAGTGATAAGGAAGAAAAGTCACTCCTTCAATGGCTAAGCAACTTCCTTTAATTAAAATGATATATTTTTATATTCACATTCTTCAACTTTACATACACACAGTTAGCTTCAAAAGACTCTTATCCGCCTTTGCTGAATTTGTTCATGATGACAAAATGAATACTTAATGAATCTTTAACCTAAAAATGTTAAATATCAAATATTATAACTGCCTTTCCATACTGCCAACAACATATTTAGGCAAGAATAATGATGAAGCACTTCCTTAAAAGGCAAAAGACATGTCATCCCAAACAATGAAATGTTTAATGGGATTAGAGTTAGTGAAAAACTAATATTGGGAGAGGAAAATTCTTTAGGCTCTGACTTAAGGATGGGCAGTTTTTCTCTTACAGAAAGTAAGAGACCATGTACTCACTTGTGAACAAGGCCAATGGATACAGAAATCATTTCTTACCCAAAGCTAAATAAGAAGGAGGCCCAAGATAGGGTAAAAAGAGAGTAGAAAACACAGACTAGATTTGATAAAAACAATATCCTTACGCTACATCATTTATCTGCTATAAAATTATGTGTAGAAATGTAGTCCCTGAGAAAAAAATAAGGTGTAATGGAAAATTCAGAATTGCAATAGTCACAGATGGCTGTAATCTAAGATTATTTGTTACATTTTAGCACTGAAATGCTTTCTGAAATACTTGTTTTCGAACAAAGTAACTTATAGGCCACTGAACATTTTTCCGGTCAAACTTGCCAAAGGAACTTATTTTTCTAAATCAGTGCTTGTTAAACTGCTGGTTCCAATCTTTGAGTGAGTTGTAAGGATAAGAGTTGTTTTATTATTCTTGTTTTTTTAATAATGTGTACCTTATATACACACATGAACATATATGTGTGCTGTGGCTCAGGGCGTAAAATGTATTTATTATGAGTTACAGTCAGACCATTTCAAAGCTGTCATTTTAAAGATCTTAACAATGTTTAATGGACATGTCTGAATTGCCTCAGTAAAGATTAACTCAAGATATAAATGAAGTAAATGAATGCCTATAATACGTCAGTGGAGGACCCTAAGCACTCACTATTTCCTCAGTAAGTTAATTTCCCGACATTGGTCAAGGTGCCTTTCTCTCTCCACCTCACCTTAAAGCCCCACCATTAGCGCCCCCTGGAGTTTTACTGAGATACAACTGACAGAACACTGCAAGTTTAAGATGTATGACACCTTGATTTGATTTACAACCACAGTATTAACTACCATCTCTCTCCCCCTGAGACATAGTTGCCATTTCTCTTCTGTGCTAAGAACAATGAAGACCCACTCTGTTAGCAACAACTCAAGTATGTGATGCAGGACAGTTAGCTGTAACCCCCATGCTGTGCATTAGATCCCCAAATTCACCAGTCTTACGACTGAAAGTTTATACCCTTTGAACTGTAGCTCCTCCTTTAAGACTAAATAAAGGGGGGGGGGGCACCTGGGTGACTCAGTCGGTTGGACGTCCGACTTCAGCTCAGGTCATGATCTCGCAGCCCATGGGTTCGAGCCCCGCATCAGGCTCTGTGCTGACAGCTCAGAGCCTGCAGCCTGCTTCGGATTCTGTCTCTCCCTCTCTCTCTGCCCCTCCCCTGCTCATGCTCTGTCTCTGTCTCTCAAAGATAAACAAACATTAAAAAGTTTTTCAAAAAAGACTGAAAAAAGAAATCTGCTTCAAGATCATTTCTTAATGGTTTTTATTAAAATGAGATGATCTTTAAAGTCTAGTTTTAGTTATTTAACAGCCAGAAGCCGCAGAAAGACTGGCTCTGAGGGAATAAAGATGCTGAGCACAAATACTATGTTTCCCTAATGAGAGAGAGACGAGTAGTGGCAGGCCAGCCCGGGGCACTCACTGTAGAAGGGGAGCTGGGGCAGGGAACCAGGACTCCTCAACAGCCGGAAGCAAAGAGTGCGGATGCTGGGCCAGGAGGAGGAGGGACCTCGGGATGCCCTAACCTGAGGAGCAGAGGACATCAGGAAGTGTCTCTTAGAAACACCGTGACTCTTTTCCTGAGGATGCATTCACCAACGCCTCCCACAGGAGTATTCCTCCAGCTCCTGGGGACTGAAGCACGTGGCTACATGTACACTCTAGACTGTAACTGGTCAGTCACAGGGTATGACTGTGGGTGTGAACAGATCCCAGTATATGAATCTCCCTCCACCCCATGTCCTCCACACAAATAAATCTGAGTTCCTTTCTTTTATCTGTAAAACGAGAAAAAGGAGGATAACTAATATTTTGGAGTGCTTTTCCAACGTGCTTTTTAACTAACCACCTTCTGAAGAACACAAAGCAAGCCTATTATCATCGCCAGAGAAAACCCAGAGCTGCCATGACCCACACAAGTTCACAAATCCAGCAATTACTGAAGAACTAAAGCCCTGAGTCTGCACTCCAAATCCTTTGCACCGACTGTTTTGCCATTTCAGAAAGAACAAAAGGAACCAAAATCAAAGATATATTTTCCTTACTCCCTGGCTTTGCCCTTGGCCTGCCGTGGTGTTTGGTCACATTACGAATATCTCGTAAATCTGAGATGATTCAGGGCTTCATGTGTTCATTTATATTCTCTTTCACAATAGGTTGAAAAAATACTGCATTTCATAAACTCTAAGAATCCATAAATTGTGAGATCCATGATTATTTTATGTACTGCCAAGAAAGTAAAAAAATACATAAGCAGTTAAACCATAACATGGTGCTTTCGTGTCTCTTTGAATTTTCTTTGACAAATACTGAAATATTTCTTTAGACTTATTCAGAGATAAATTTTTTATCACATTCACTCTGGGAACCCGTAAAAGCCAGTATGAGCGAAATAATTTGGTGAAGCAATTCCTGACAGTTCCTCGTGTCCCAACTCTAAGTCTTATGACCCATTCTTCAAACTCCCATTACTGTCGTCCATGGCTTTCCACCTACACCATCCTCTGTGACCACAGGTTCATGATTCAACAAGTCTGAATGATGAGACGTCTGGGTTTCACCAAACTATGAACAAAGGAATGTTGCAAACAATCACTATGTCTCATAGTCCTTCTTCAAATAATCTTTAGCGGTTTTGTGGATTGAAATATCTAGGGTTGCATTTGTGTACACAAGCCACCAGAAGTAACGAGTCTCCAGATGCACAGTCAGGAACAACTACTTCAGTCTGGCTGACTTTGTAATGACCCAGCCCCTGGGTTCAGTGACATTAAATGGGGTGGGAGTGGGGGAAACTATGTGTTTTAAAGTTCTTTAAATACAGTATGTTTTCCTTGAATTGTCTTTTAATTTTCGCTTTAAAAATAATAGGTCACAGGGGTGCCTGGGTGGCTCAGTCGGTTAAGCATCTGATTCTTGATTTCAGCTCAGGTCACGATCTTGCGGTTTGCGAGTTGGAGCCCCATGTCAGGCTCCACGCTGTCAGTTCAGAGCCTGCTTGGAATTCTCTCTCTCTCTCCCTCTGTATTTGCCCCTCCCCTGTTCACACTCTCGCGCTCTCGCTGTCTCTCAAAATAAATAAACTTAAAAAAATTTATGAACAGATTTAGATAAGACACTTAACCACCCAATTCCTTCCAGGGAGTCAGCCAAAATAAGACAAATATTCAAAATCAGTTAACCAAGAGTGGCCAAACATAATAGCTGACACTTATTGAATACTACAAGGTACCGGAAGCTGTGTTTCATGTTGTCTCTAATTCTTACTAGCCTGCGTGGAAGTCTTTGTTATACATTTTACAGACCAGGAAACTGAAACTCACGGAGATTAAGCAGCTAGCCCACAGTGAAGAGGCAGTGTATGCCAGAGCCTTAATTACAACCCTCGAAAGATCCTTCACCACCTCGTGTATAACCCCCACTTCTTCTCTCTACTCTCCTTATGGGCTTATCTCCATGTACAAAACATTCCTTTTGGAAACTGTTCCCACCCGCACTTCCTTCATTCCGTTCTCCATTCGTTTCGTTCACTCTCCTCAGTCCTGAATACTTTGTGGTGAACAGTAAGATGTCCTGATTCTCACTAGACACACCCCCAAGAATCCTCCTCTTCCCTTCCCATTCCCCTTTGGGGTTTCTCACAGGTGTCAGGTGGCTACATCTTGCTTTCCTCCCTCAGGAGCCACAACCTGAGGCCAGCCCCACATGGTCCCCCACCAATCTGACAGCCCCAGAGGGGCACTGCCTCCCCATCCTCACTGACGGGGCTCATCCTTGTCAGAGGCAGGCAGGGCAGGGGACACACGTGCTGCCGAGTGCCACTGGTAAGGCCTTGAAATACTTTCCTGACAGGTGTTTAGCTTCTAGGGTGATGTGATTAAATAACATCTGAGGAGATGACGTCGGCAACCTCTTTCTTGTCACCAAAACTTTACCAGTGTGGTTTTCTCTACTGAACTGCTAATGTCCTCCTCTTCTGAGGATGGTCCAGTATCACTTCTCCTGTGGACCCCTCCTCAGGTGCTCGTCAGAAAGGATGGCTCACTCTCCTCTTCACACCCTTCTGAGGGTCTTACCATCTTATGATATCATAGTTCCTCTCGCATCTAGTTGCGGGAAGCATGACTTCTTTAGGGCCATTTATTGCCATGCCGTGCAACAGGAATACAATGCAGGCCACATATGAAATACAGAATTTTCTAGTAATAATATTAAAAATAAGAATAATAAGAAATAATAAAAATAAAAATGAGATCATCACAGATTTTATTTAACCTAATATGTCCAAAATGCAACCATTTCAAAGTGTAATCAAACTAAAAATTTATATTTTTATATCCCTTTAATTTTATAGGAAATATTTGAAATCTAGTGTTTTTTTTTTCATCATGTCTCAGTTCAGACTAGCTATGTGCAAAGTGCCCACTGGCCACTGTGGCTCAGGACCAGGATACTGGACAGGGCAGCTCCAACCTACCTACTGAAGCTTGAATAGGGGGAAGCAGATACCATATTTTTACCAAATGAAAAAGGCCATGCAATGAAACAATCAGCAAGGTGTGCTGGCACTGTGACTCATGGGAGAAGGAAGAAGGAAAAACAAAAAGTAATCATAGAAACTGAGCTTTCAACAATGAGATATAATGTTTTGTTAGTAGAAACAGAGAAAATACTGGAAATAGGAGGATTTGGGGATCAAAACAAAAAGTGGAAAGTTTTGTACCATTGGCTAATTATTCTGAAAGGAAGAAATGTAATGCTTTTAAGCAAAAATGTGCTATCTCTTCTAGCACCATCCACATACAGGCATTGAGAGAAAAATTTACAATGGTAATGACAACAAATGCACATGACCTCTCATTGTGCAAATACCAGCAATTACAACAAACATGATGGATTTTACCATTAAATGAAATGTCACAAGTGCACTGAATCCTTTTAGTTCTTAATCTAGATAGGCGCTTCATGAATTTGACTAGCATTCATTTCTATATAGTGCATATGGCTAAACAGACAAGCCTGAATACAGTTATGACCTTTGACTATGTAAGAAGCCTGCTCATGTTTCATTCCTCAGGCTAACAGATTTATTATTTGATAAGAAGAAATGACCCCACTACATTTGCTTAGTCTTACTTACTTAGCAATTGCAGCCTTCCAAATGAGTGTCGTTTGAGCTGTTTTATCACACTTCATGATGTTATCAAAATACATTCAACAAAATCAAGTAATAAGTGGAGAAAAAACACCAGGCACCCGGAATTTCAGAAAGCTGACATCTCAATAGGGAAAGAGATGTTGATGACGTTCTGCACTTCAGAAGTACCCTTTCCATGAACATCCAATTATGGTTTCCTTTGGTGTTTGTCTGTTAACCTCAATGTTTCATTCATGTTTTAATAATAAGGAAAAGTAAAATAAAAATGGTCTTTCCACCTTTGATAGGTTCCTGCTAAGGGGACAGTATGGCACCGCTAAGGTGCTGCCCTCCAACCAGGATCCTGGGAGCAATCTTCTGTTCCCGAGTGGGCCCTGTCTAATCAAATAGCGACTGCTGTCAATTCAGATTCATAGGTCATTTTGAACCCTTTTTCATCTCCTCCAATACTGTCTCCTTAGTTCAGATTCACAGTGTCTCTCACAGGACTACTACAATAACCTAATTAATCTCTCTGTTCTCCACTTTGTCTCTTCCTATTCATGAGGCACAGAGCTACCAGAGGGGTCCTTCCCCTGCTTGGAAAAAGTCACACTCCTTAGCCCGATCACAAAGCCCAACGTGATGCCCACCCAGTCTGTCTCACTTCATGTCCTTGATTACCCTCCATTCACTCAGTGTTCACACTGAACCTAGCTGACTCTAGCTAGGGTTTGGGTCCTCCTGATCTTTCATACATTATCCCCATACTAATTTTTCTCTGTCTCTCCCATTATTTTGTGAGCTCACTGAGATCACAAAGATTTAAAGTTTTAGTTCTTCACATCATATCATTCATGCCAGGATCTTCTCCATTCAAGAACCTAACTCCTCAGAGGAGTGTTTCACACATAAGAGGCACTAAGTAGATGTTTGTCAAAATGGATTAAATCTAACAACATGCCCAGAGTTGGATACAAAATCCAAAGTGTAATATAATATTCTGAAAACTAAAAGGTTACCTTTTTAAAAGTCCGTAGTTTAAGAATCCACCCTAATCTTAGACAAATCATGTTCTAATTTAGAAACTAGAACAGAAATGAACTACCAATAAAACCTTGCATGTACACTATACACTGTTATTAAATTATGAGTATACCTAGCCATCATCCATTACTGCATTAAGTGGAGGGAATACAGTTTGCTTTCACTCAGAACTGAGAAGGGCACTGAAAACAAGGTAGCTGAGGAGGGTATAAAAACATTTGGAAACTTTTGTTTAGCAAATGTCTTCCTTGTGTTCATCAAAATGAATATATGTTTTTAAATTATCAGATCTGTTATCCTTCTTGAAAATTTTAACTTTATTTTGTATACACTTTCTCCACCCTTACCTTTTCAACCCTTACATTTTCTTAGGCTTTTCCCAAAGACATGCTTACAAAGGGCATCAAGTAGAAGAGTTTTCCTTGTCACATCATATAACGAGCTTTGTTTTATGAGCTCTTGGAAGAGCAAGTAAGAATCTGTATCACTGAGTGAACACAAAGACTATTAGGACTTCCCCAAAGTTTGAAGATTGTAACTTGTCATCACAGAATGGAAGGTGGGGATTGGAGGCACAGTTCATTCTACAGTCCATGGAAAAGAGGCTAATTACATACTTCATCAAAAGCCATATTTTAGTGAGTACTTATGTTGTCAAAAGTGGATAATGATGGACTTTTCTTTGTCCTTATACCTCCACATTTTAAATTATTTTTCCACTTTGACACTTCCAAAAAGGTTGCTTAACCAAATATTTTGTTGTTTTTGTTAAGCTCCTGAGTGTAAACCACTTGGTCTAAAATTACTTAAAACGCTATAACACTGTTCCATAAAAGAGAGTAAAAACGAGTAGGTTTAGGAGAGAGAAAAAAATAAGTTACATTCACACGTGTTGGGAGGAGCCAAGATGGTGGAACAGCATGGAAGTTTTTTGTGTGTCTTGCCTTCATGAAATAGAACCAGAACAACACTAAACCATGCTACACACCTAGAAAACTGACTGGAGGATTAACACAACAATCTGCACAACCTGAGCCACAGAATTCAGCAGGTATGTGGCGTGGAGAGGTGAACTTGGGGAGCAAGGAGGAGGAGGAAGGGAGGTGCTTTTGCGAGCGGAGAGAGGATGGAGACTGGAGTGGGGAGGAGAATACGGAAAAAGCACCCCTCCCCAAAAGCAGCTGGAGAGAAAATGGAAAACTGGAAACAGCTGAAGGGACTAAACTAAAAAGGGAGAGAGGAGAAAGGAGAGGGTTTAAATTCCATTAAGACCTTAAACAAGGGGAGCGCAGAGTCTGCAACTCTGCAGCTGGATACCCGGCGGCGCTCTAGTGGGAAGGGAGAATCCCCAGGAACAGAGTGCGGTCCGGGAGGTTCTTGG